TTCTGTCTGTTTTAATTTGTCATTTTTTACTTAGCATATTTATCTTTATATAATGACTCCACACAGAAAAAAAATAATAAATCAATGTACTAACAGCTCAGTCAGCCGTTCGATCAAAGCCTGATATGCCTTACATAACTGCAACACTAGTTAACAATCCCAGGCTTGCTGATAAAATCTCAGCCTGCAAGTGTCACCCTGGAGTAATTTGAACATCTAATAATAGAGCAAAAAATCATTTAATCTCAATAGCTATTGAGAACATTGTGAATACCCCTCTGCTGCATCTGACATTGATTTATCGCTCTCCAGATTTCACATCATATTCAGGATATCACGCAAGGATGTTTGTATTTCCATTTGAAAGGAGGGATAATCGTCTCCATAACAGGTGTTATCCAGCATGCCTGGAGACTTTGGCGTCTATTGTGGGCTTGCATTGTTGCTTTGGAGGGCAGGTGCAGGTAAACACAATGCAAGCGCTCTTTTTTTTTTACCATCACAACAGGAAACTGAATTAAGTTATAACAGCACAGTGTCAACACTGGATGCAAGCCACACTGAAAAAACAATAAAAGCCTCTAAAAAGCAGCTGGGACGAGCACGAAGAGTGTCGAGAATGGAGGAGAAATCATACTGTTTGCAGAGGCTTAAAGCAGATATGTGAGCATACAAAACTAGTCATAAGTGTTATTTTTCCTTTAAATCGAGATTTGTACATCACCTAAAAGCTGGATAAATCCTTTTTTAGGATAGAATAATATTTAGCTGAGATTCAAGTATTTTTTCAATATTTGAAATATGAAGGTTCAAAAAAAAATCTAAACACTAAAACAATCTCCTCTAACATTGTCTCTATGAAGTGCTTAAAATCGCACGTTACTAATAAAAAAATGGAAAATTTACCAAGAATCTAGGAGATGATCATTACTTAAAGGGGTGGTCCACAGAGTATTTTTTAGGCTTGGTTGGGTTTATTAGATGCAAAGCAATGTTTGCTCATGCTTTACTTGTAGAAAATTCCGTTATTTTTCCATATATCTTCCATATATCTGGTCAGCTGACATAATGTGCTGTGATTCGCGGATTGCTTAAAAAACATCCGGAATGCCATGATTTAGATTAGTTTGAAAAAATAAAAAGCATAGCAAAAAGCACAAGGGTATTCAAACATAACCACAGAAGCTTGAAACGGTTGCCCTAACTGCAGTATGTAAGTTTGACACCCAGTGGTTGAACTAGGTATCGCTTTCCTGGATCAAAACAAATGTAATCGCAGGTTGCCAGATTGACGACCAACAGGGGCGAGTCTGACTATCGAACCTAAAGGCTGATTGAAATCATGTTCTATATACAAGCAACAGCACACGATAGTGGGAATATTTTTCATATTAAAAGGAGTTTTTGTCCTAACTAATAAACCGCTTAAAATTTAACTTAATCAAATTAAAATAAATTAAACTTTAGAGCTGTGAAATAATGCAAACCAACACATATCAGTGATTCAGCATCTACATTTAATAATGTTACAGATGTTTATTATGTATTAGTTAGATTATAAACCTTACCATTTCGTGAGTAAGTACATATTCTGTGCTTCTAAATGGCTGTATTTTTCTGTTGTACTGCGTCTGTTGCAAACAGCCCAATTGCTTAATACTGCAAATCTCATCATGTGGCATGTTGTTAGGACTCAATGTTACAATGTAACCTGCTCAACTAATGTTTATTTTCAGAATATTTATATTATTTGCTAATTAATAACCTTATATGGAAGTAATAACCTTATGTGTCACATAACGGAGTCTGCTACTGTCCACCAAAGGTCGCATTTCGGTCATGGGTGCATGCTTTGAGAGACTTTTTTAAATGACTGTATGAAAGACTCAATTTTCTTAATGTTTTAAAAAGAAACTTAAAAAAAACGTAATGTTTTTCAATAAGGTACCCGGGGCGCTAAAATATAATTGGCTGAACTGGCATTGGACAAGTTAAAAGTTAAAAAGACAAGTTACATTTTCAAAGCAGAATATCTGACTTTATGCTTTATGCTAGAGTCAAAAACTGACATACAGCACCTTAAACTTCAGACGGCATCTAAAAAACATGGCCCTCACAAACGCGGCACTTCAAAAAACACGAAACATGACCATAACAGTCCCACATATCCATCAAGCATGTTTGAATTAAAAAACAATAGAAAAGTTGTGCACTGGATATGAAAAACACATTCAGTTTGAACTGCCTCTAAGACTTTTCTAATCAAAATCTGCAGATTCAAGAGGTCATCAGGCAGGGGTGCTCAATTAGAATCAATCATTGAATCAACTTTAATTGATTGGAATTTGTTGCACACATTAAGTCACTTTTTCATTTTTTTTTTTTTTTTTTTTGTATCTATTTTGAATCCCTTCCAAATTTGTATTTTAACCATCACATATCCAGGCATTCAACACCAGACACTTCAGGCACTCGTACATCGTGTCAACATGTGCCACACCGATGCAGCAACACTCTAAAAAAGTTCTGTTTTCACATGTTTTATTTATTTATTTATTTATTTATTTGTATCCTAATAATTAAGGATAGAGGAAATCTTATTGTTTGCAATAAACCAGTAAAAATTCCTCCTTTAATAAAACCTAAAAATAAAAATGCATATCATTATAAAACTAATTTTCAGTGGTTATAGTTCTCCATCTTCCTAAAAATAGATTTGTGTATAACAAAAAAAAAAAAAACAGTTCTGAACCAAGTAAAGGGTGAGAAAATGATTAAAGAATTTATGTTTTTAGGTGAACTGTCCCCTTAAACTCTGAAGTAATTACACCATAGTGTGATTTAATCAAACCAAACCTTCCAACCCTTTTAGCCAGTTATTCTACAATATGTTTTTCCACCTGAATTTCACTTTGGGAATTCATTTCACTCTTTGTTCTTTTTTTTTCCTCCTTCAGGACAACCCATGATTCATTGAGATGCATAAAGCAAACGGAGCTGCTTTTCATGCAGTATTCATAATAACTCATAATACATTGTGATTTTGTTTCTTTTTTTTCCTTTTTTTTCAGTGAGAGTGATGTGAAAAGATGTCAACGTGATGGTGTTGCTTGGTTTTTTGGGAGGTGTAAAAACAGCACATCACTGACAGACTTAAAGCTATACTGGGATTTTTATTTTCCCATTCTGTTCAAGTTTGTAGCTGCTTATTCCTCAGACAACCTGTCAAAAACAACCAACATACTCAACACCTATTCTCCTTTTCTGCTGACAAACCATTTTATCTAGCTTCAGCTGTCTACACTTTGGTATTCTCTGTGTATTATATGACAAACAACTGTAAACACTAAAAAAAGTCTCTTTTTCTCACTAAGGATGCAGCTGTTTTATCAAGAATACAGTAAAACTGGTAATATTGTGACATTTTATTGTAAGTTGAAGTAGCTGTTTCATATTTTAATGTGTAATTTATTCATTAATTCAGTCTTGAGTATCATATGTTTCCACAGTATAATGCTGGTTTGATGTGAAACAATCATTGTTTTTGTTATGATCTGTTGAAATCAGCTGTGTTGCTTCATATTTGTTGGAGTCTGGGTCTGGGGTGAGCAAACATAATAATAATAATAATAATAATAATAATAATAATAATAATAATAATAATAATAATAATAATAATAATAATAATAATAATAACTATTATTATTATTATTATTATTATTATTATTAATAGTAAATAATTTATTATTATTATTATTTGTTTTTCTTTCACAGGAAGTAACAACAAAAACATTTATAATGTTACAAAAAAATTATGACGACGCAGTGGAGCAGTAGGTAGTGCTGTCGCCTCACAGCAAGAAGGTTGCTGGTTCGATCCTCGGCTCAGTTGGTGTTTCTGTGTGGCGTTTCTCCCTGCATTCGTGTGGGTTTACTCCGGGTGCTCCGGTTTCCCCCACAGTCCAGAGACATGCAGTGCAGGTGAATTGGGTAGGCTAATTAGTGTAAGAGTGTGTGTGTGTGAATGTGTGTGTAAAAAAATGTGCTGAATTAATTGGCGGTTCATTCCACTGTGGCGACACCGGCTTAATAAAGGGACTAAGCCCTAATGATGAATGAATGAATAATGAATGAATGAATGAATGAATGAATGAATGAAAAAAAAAATCTCCAAAGATGTAAAGCACCAAAGCTAATAAGAGAAAGTTTTAAACTGATAAAAAATAATCACAATAATCTTTATCAAACGTCAAATTAGCACATTGTAATGATTTCTAAACTATCACCAATTATTCAAAGTAATAAATCACAGTATTACGGTAATAAATTACCCTAAAAAATACATTTATTCTACGTGGTAAACAGCTATTCTTTTAAATTGCAAATATTTTAAAGTATAACTGTTGTTACTGTAATTGGGCTAAAATAAATGCATCATTGGTGTGTCTAAGGTTTTTTTTATTTATTTATTTATTTATTTATTTATTTATTTATTTATTTTATTTATTTATTTATTTTTTTAAATCATATTTAATTTAGAATTTATAATTCCATTTCAAGACAGTCAAAAAACTATGTTTGTTGCTTGTTCAAACAACTCATTTAGAATGAGCTAAAGCAACACAAACTTAAATGTTTTATGTCCAATCCAAATAAATTTGTAAAAACAAACAAGTTAACATCATTCATCACCCAAATTGATTGTGTGGAATCCAGCACTTTTTTACAGTGCATTGTTCACCAGGTTTTCCAATTGGCTGCTCGACAGAAATAAATCACAGTCTGAGCATCACAAAGAAATTAGAGCAGCAGGTTTAGCGTGTCTTTGTGCTTCTTTTAGAACAAAAAAAGGGCTTCCCCTGCTTCTCTGTTTGTGTCTGACCTCTCCCTCTATTATTTTTCACTTTGAAACTGTCTTTTCTGCTGTCAGGGGAATCGGAGACCTTGAGATGCTCTTGACTGAGAGTGTGGATACAGACAGGAGGATGTTTGGGACTCACCCCGTTCTTCGGGTAGGCAACCCAGCCCAAATCACCCATTACTGAGCGAGAGTCCAGTAGATTAACTGAAACACAAGTACAAAAAGCACATTCAATGAGATGAAAAAGGTTACATTGAACATCTTTATATGCAGATCTATGGATTAATTAGATAGAGGAGGATCTAATTAGATCTTTTCATATATAATTTATGCACATTTTTTGTTTTAATAAATTTACATATATAAATTTACATATATACATTTATATATATATATATATATATATATATATATATATATATATATATATATATATATATATATATATATATATTATATTATATTATATTAATTGACATTTTGTAACTGAATCATCAAGTTCAAGAGTAATATCAATGTTTTTCATAGGTGTACATATGTTTCAAAACAAATGAATAATAAATGAACAAACAAACAAACAAACAAACAAACAACATTTTTTTTCAAACATTTTTTTATGTGGCATTATTACTGAACAAAAGTATAACAAAACATAGAAAGCATAATATTATCACAAATGTATGCATTTTAATATATTTATCAAGAACAGCTCTAAATGTTTCATTTTAACATTTCTACGACATATTTAGCATGTAAGATAGATGAGCATGGGCATAGGCAATATAATCTTGACCCCCAAAACAATAATCTAATGATAAAAAACCGACACAAATGCCACAGCAGTGCCAGTGCAAAAATATAAGAGCATGAAAGGGTAAATGTCTAGTTCATCAAAACTTTAAGTACAAATTTAGCATTGACTATTTAACATTTCTACACCCATATTTTGGCAATAATTGTTTTCACATCAGTGCTTCAATCATTTTCACATGAATAATTTGAAACATTAAAGCAGACACTTTGCTTTTAATTAATAAGTTACCATGTGTATGAATTACTTGCTAATGTAATAAGATACAGACACCAAATGAGATGTTATATTGATATATTTAATCTACGTTGTATCATTTTTTCCCCTTATCTTATTTGGATTTGCTTTAAAAAGGATTTTTTTTTTTAATCGCTGTCCCAATATTTAATTGGTCAAAAATGCAACCACAAGTAACAACAACAACAACTGATAATAATAATACTAATAATAATAATAATAATAATAATAATAATAATAATAATAATAATAATAATAATAATAATAATAACAATAATAATAAAAATAAATAAATAAATAAATAACCTTTTTTTTTCAATGTCTTTAACCATTTTTTTCTAATTAAATCTAAGGGTAATTTGCTAAGTTTTTTTTTTTTTTTTTTTTTATGTGCCATTTTTTCTGAACAAAAGTATAACAAAGCATAAAGACATATTTACTGTAGCATATAAGATAGATGAGCAAGAGCAATATCATTTTGAGCCCCAAAACAGTAAACTGATGACCAAGACCCACACAAATCTCACAGCGGTGCTACAGCTAGATCATGAAAGTGTAAATGTCCAGTTCCTCAAAACTTTTAGCAATTTTACAATTTTAGCATTGACTATTTAACCTTTCAACACCCATATTTTGGCAATAATTTCATTTTCATGCAAATTATTTGAAACATTAAAGCAGACTCTTTGATTTTATTTAATATAGTTGCCATGTGTATGAATTTCTTGCTAATTTAATGAGATCAAATCAAATCACTTTTATTGTCACATCATCAGCAGCATGTGTGACAACAATACAATGTAAAAGACAATACAAGGTAAAATTGACATACAAAAACAATACAATGTAAAATTGAGAGCGATGTGTACAATGAATAGGTGTCCACATAGTTTTAAGACAGTATTGTTTCAAGATGCAGACACCAAAATACGATGTTATATTGTAGTGAATTTCTACTAGTTATGCAATTAGACAATGAAATGTTTTAAATATATTGATATATTTTAGCTGGATCATATACTAAACAAAAAGGAAAACTTTAGCTGGGAATATAATAATTCCTGTAATTGCCTAAAAAACATGATTTGTTTGATCAAAATTTGTAACACTGAGGCCAATCTTTGAATATATCAAAATTATTTTCTACGTTGTTTCATTTTTGCCCTTGTGCTATTTGGATTTGCATTAAAAATAATATTTTTTATCTGTTCCAGTATTTAATAGATCAAAAATGCAACCAGAAGTAACAAATAATAATTTTTCATTTATTAATAATAGAAGGGTAATTCTAGGGTAATTTTTATTCTTTCTAATTTTTTAACCCTGAGGCAAATCTTTAAATATAACAAACATGTTTTCTACATGTTGTATCATTTTTGCCCATATTTTATTAGTTTTTTTCTTTAAAAATTAATATTAATATATTTTTGATAATATGATTGCTGTTCCAATATTTAATAGGTCACAAATGCAACCACAAATAACAAAAATGTGAATGAATAAATAAATAAATAAATAAATAAATAAATAAATAAATAAATAAAAAAAATTTAAAAATAAAGATGTATTTCTAAGTTATATTTAATAAAATTTTATGGTATTTTTTTAAACAATAAATAAATATATATATGAATATATGTTTATTTTGTTATTCATTAACAACTCAATACACTGACTAAAAGAAAAGAAGACCAAAGACAGAAAAATAAAATGTTCAAAATAATCCTTTCTATCCCCAATATTACCATTTATTGAATCATTATAATTACATGTAGGCTAAAATGTATCATACATTTTTTTTTTGTATCGTTATAAGTGCTTTTGTCACTTGCTGACATATTGTCACTTCTGATCAAATAAATGTGACTTTAAACATACATTATAGAAATACAGTAGATGTTTGTGATAGAACTATAATAAACATTGACAAATAATAAATAAATGTTTCTTTAGCAGGTAGTACTAAATGCAAAATGTATGCTTTGGATGAAAGCTTTGGATGAAAGAAATCTTTTTTAAAAATGCAATTGAAAAATTCCAGACACATTACAATACATCAGCCTATACAAAATCAACTGAGACATTGTTTACAATGTCAATCTAAATGTGTCTCAACCCTGAATACAATCATTTAAAATCTACTATATTTAAATTTAGCAAACATTTTGTTTGTATCTTTAGTTGAGAGGACTGATGTCTAATATTAAACCCCCTTTCTTTTTTTTTCTGACAGTGCCAGTATTTGATACCTAGAGTAGGTCACTTTTTTTCCCTTTTCTTTTTGTTTTTTGTCTGCTGGAACCTTTAACGAATGAGTACCGGCACGACTAATTAGCTGACCTTTACATTCATAGCCCGACCAGGCCTGAATTTTAATTTGACCTTGTGTTGATCAAAGGTTAGCAGCGAGACTATTTAGCATGTGTGAGATGAATCACAAGAGCAATATCATTTTTGGGGCTCCAAAACAATAAGCTAATGACCAAGACCCACACAAATGTCACAACGGTGCTTTAAATATCCAGCGTAAAAAGGTAAATGTCAGTTTATCAAGACTTAAAAGTATAAATTTAGCATTGATTTTCACTTCATGCCCTGCTGAATAACAAGTTACGTAACCCCACATAGTTATTCACACTCACTTTAGGACAAATATGCATTGGATAAAGCTATAAAAAAAAGTCTGTCTGGCCCATTTAACTGTCCCTAAATGAGGATTAAATGTGTTTCATCTGAATGACAGATATTGATGTCCTACTTTAAGTGAAAAAATATCCTGGGGAGAATCCCATAAATCTAATTAGCATGAAGAAATGCATTTGTGAACTAGATAAAAGAGAGCTTTTTGTCCATACAGGCAGATACAAATGTTGAATGATGTGCAGTGTGCGGAAATCTGACTATAAAATATCAGTTTACGACTACTTCAAAACATGAAGCATTTTGTTAATAGCTTTGTTTTGCTTTTTAAGATGTTTAATTTGTGTCTTTAAAGGTTTTTGTAAACTTGTTCTATAAGAACATTTATTCAAGGGAAATCGCAGCTTAGATCAGAGTGAAAACAGCTCAGGCTGTTATAAAAGGAGATTTGATTTTTATTTTAAAACTTGTAGTATATTTTTTTAAGAAGTATATTAAATACAGCAGTATTCCAGGATGAAAAAGAATACCTACAGGATATGATATCTACACTGAAATTGTAATTTTACAACACTTAATCCAACTTATATATGATCATATTTTTTTTTTGGAGTTTAAATAACCCCATTTTGTGTTGTCCAGATCACAAGAAATTTACAAGTGGTTTTATAAACATATAAAAAAGACTATAAATGTCTACTTTATTTTTTTATATATATATATATATATATATATATATATATATATATATATATATATATATATATATATATATATATATATAAAATTGGTGTTTTCTGTCATTTGTGTGATTTTTTTTTTCTCAGAAAATTAATAAATACTATACATTTTAATGTAATTGTAATGTGATTAAATGTGGTTTTAACTAAAATTGTATATTTTTAATCTTGTGTGTCCATATTAACATTTGTTTGCTTGCTTGCTAACTTAAGCATTTACTTTTTTTTGGAAATGTACTCATTATTTTAGAATATTTCACCTTCATTTCTTTTCATGCATCTGTTTTAAATTCTGTGTTTAAAAAAGAACAATTAAAGAAATTATAGTACAGAAATGATAGACAGTAGAGCTGCACAATATATTGCTTCAGCATCGATATCACAATGTGATCATTCCCATTCGTAGTTACATTGCAAGTAAAAGCAATGTTGAGTCTGGATTATAATCTATTATTTTGCAAGTGTATTTTTTTTAGGTCTGCGACTGTGTAAGGGTTTTAAGAGCATTGAGGCTGATGAAATGGTATTGTAACATTGACAAATCAATAAAGATAAATTTATTGAACTGTTTGTGGTTTTATTTTACGTTTAGTTATTTAATTACTGTATACGTGAATACAGTTTAACTGTATTACTTTATTGAACTTATCAATGCTTGAAGATTTTTTATATATTGAATGCACTCCTATACAGAATCATCCCAGAATCATACAGAATCATCCCAATCAATCAAAATAATAAATTCTTTCCAACTGTTTTTTTTTTTCATTTAGTGAAATTGTGTTTATATTGCAATTTACTGTATTGAAATCAGAATTATTAAACCCCCTTTGAATAGTTTTCTTTTTTAAATATTTACCAAATCATGTTTAACAGAGCAAGGAAATTTTCACAATAATGATAATATATATATATATATATATATATATATATATATATATATATATTTATACTTTAAGCTATATTTTTTGGATTGCCTACAAAACAAACCATCATTATACAATAACTTGTCTAATCAACCTAACCTGGCAAGTTAACCTAATTAAGCTAGTTAAGCCTTTAAATGTCACTTTAAGCTGTTTAGAAGTGTCTTGAAAAAATATCTAGTAAAATATAATTTTACTGTCATTATGGCAAAGACAAAATAAATCAGTTATTAGAAATGAGTTATTAAAACTATTATGTTTACAAATGTCTTAAAAAAAGTTCTCTCCAGGTTAAACAACAATTGGGGGGAAAATAAACAGGGTGTGCTAATAATTGAGGGTGTTTTGATCTGGGTTGATGTCTGATGTTGGCAAAGAAATCAGAAAATTGAGAAAAAAATTTACTTTAATATATTTGTCTTGTTAGTCTTTGTCAAGTCAACTTTTTGTCCTTTAGGAAGCTTTGAGTAACTATTTAAAATGCATGTAGAGGCAATAACAACCAATTTTAATCTATAACCCCAAAATAGTTACTTTAAAAGCTTAAAAAGTTTAACAGACAATACATTTCACATAGTTAGAAACTCAGTTTGCTAAAAAACTGACCTAAATATTTTAATTTTCTTCCAGTGAAAAAAAACATTATTTAACATCACTAAACCTCCCCCTAAATAAGTTACATCTGACCAAAACATCTCTTTAAGACAACATCAGGAAGATTTACACCACATTTCTATAGAATATTTTGATATATGTTTTCTTTCTACTCAAGGTTAAATCATCCAAACGCAACAACCAGAACTGCTCATGTTAATTTATAGTGCTTCAAAATCATATTGCCCTCCAAAATTACAGTTCACCGCTGCTCAAATCTCTCTGAATGGGCATGTTTGTTCAAATTGTGCCATTGTGACTCTGAAGTGCCCACTGTCCTTCTATTGTGCCAGTTTACATAGGCACCCGTTTGCCCTCCCCCATCATGCTCTCATTTTTATTGTGCCATCATGAGCCCACAATCAATCAACTCATCCCCACACTTGTCAACGCACTATCCATATGCTGACCCACTCATTACAATATTTACATATTCTATAGTCAAGAGTGATAAATTGAAACGCATCCATTGGAGTCGCAGATCATTTGTTGACATTTCTCATGGTGAAACCTTTTCTAATGTACGCCAATTCAAATCTGCAACAGTTTAAGAGTGTTTCATGAAAATACACTTTTTTTTTTGCATCTTGGAAAACGAAGCCATACAAACATGAAATATTATTTGAAGTCGGAGGCTGTCGTTTCTCTGGCCACTATTAAGCACATTTAGGGAACTTTGATGCACACTGTGTCTGTGTTTCCTTTGTCTCTGCGCCTCTAATGCAAATTTGCCATCCCACGTGTGGAGCTTTCTCCAAAAAAAAACAAAGATTTTATTTAAACAAAAGTGGCTCAGTATGAAAAATTGGATGTTATCATTGTAGCACATTTCTAGCACTAAAATGATAATGCATATTTAAAATTTACATGAAGTGTTTACATCTTTTGTCTCCTTTCATATATCGCAAGCATATTGTTCATCCTGCGATAATCTGTCATTTAAAGGGGTAGTTCACCCAAAAAAAACTGAACATTTACTCACTATTTACTCTCTCTCTTTGATGGTTCTAAACCTTTGTGAGATTATTTATTCTGTTCAACACCAAATATAATATTGTGAAGAAAGCTGAAAGCCTATAATTATTGACTTCCATAGTTAGAAAAATAAATACTATGGTAGCAGGCTTTCAGCTTTCTTCGCAATATCTTCCTTTGTGTTCAACAGACTAAATAATCTCACAAAGGTTTGAAACCATCCAAGGGAGAGTAAATAGTGTGTAAATGTTCAGTTTTTTGGGGTGAGCTTCCCCTTTTAATGATAGATTGTTGCAGAATAAATAATACGCCTGCGGTATATGAAATGAGAATGTAATACAATTGAGAAAATTATTTTTGCTGCTAAAATGAGTTAAAATGACATAATTCTAGACTTTTTTATGTTGAATTTATTTTAATTTGTTACTTTAATTGATTTGTGTAGTAACAACATAAAATAATTGTGTTGAACCATCCATTTTTTCAGTGTATGCTGAATGCTGAAGGAAATTAAGTGACAACATACTTCATGAATTATATCCAGAAATGCATTGAGATGTGTGGTTGGGAGTTTTGTGACCTGATGTTCAAAACTTTCTGCTCCATTAAACAGTCAGCCGTAGCTTTTTCGACTATATATTACATAATGTGTCATATATGACATGATGTTTCATCTCATGTGGAGAGCATTTTAATTGAAGAACCTTGTGGAGTGCAAATACACAAAACAAAATGTGTCAATCTGCAATTGTTAGCTTTAAAAGTTATCTCTAGATTGTTCAGCCATTAAAATAGAGCTTTAATGTTAGTGGTGTATATACATTATATTTGTTTAGTGATGTTAAATTATATTTTTGACTTGAATAAAACTATTTTTAAAGTCTCAGTGAATATTGGAAACAAACTGATAGGTGTTTGATGCTCTCGTGTATATAGTCAATAATGGACTGCCAGATATTTTGTCTAATATAATTATTGTCAATTTTGAGTGGATTTTATTCAAATCTTGTCTAACACTGATTACAAATAACACTGTGAAAACTTCAGTAAGTATGGCAAACTATTAGACTGCACTTGTAAATTGGAATATAATGCGTTTATAAGTAGCCTACATACATGAACTGTAGTTTTAATTTTTCAACCAAAATTTTAAAAGAGGTTAGATAATTAAGGATAATTAACAAATTACATACGTAGAATGAATATTTTACTATAATCACTGAAAAAGTAATTATTATGATTATAAATATTAGAAAATATAATAAAATTTAATTGCAAGTAATAAGATAAAAATGTAATAAAATGTACTTGTTTTTGTTTTGTAATATGATTATGTAATCAGCTATTACCCAGTTTACAGTAACAGATGTGATATATTTTATCTAAATCTATCTATCTATCTATCTATCTATCTATCTATCTATCTATCTATCTATCTATCTATCTATCTATCTATAATGATTTATTTAAAATGATGTACAACCAATTGATTTGAGAGATTTGAGAGTTCTTTAAAGAGCGATACATCATTTGTTAACAATGTCCAAAAGGAATTTGCTAAAAATAACCATCGAGTCTGCATTAATACTCTTGTAAAGCTTTAAGTTCACTGAAAAGTGCTTTCATTCTGATCTGAGATTAAATGTCTAAACTGTAAATGAATGTTCTGGCTGAAGCTTTTGACAGTCTAATGATACTTGGGAACATTTGTATCTTCTAGTTTTCCTTTCAGTAATACTCATCATTTAGAAAGACATACTTCGTCAAAACGGAGATTTCAGAAACCAATAAATCTAAATATGACACCAAGAACTTTTCTTTTAGTCTCCAAACAACCATCCGCCAACCCAATGGATCCAAATTTTTGTTGATAAAAAAGCGTTCTTTGCTTGATAATCATCCAGATCCGTGTGTTCTCGTCGAGGAATTTGTCAACCAAAAATCACCTTTACCAGATCCCACATCTTACCTTCATTAGCGGGAATGCAGAAAGTCCTGAAGGCGCCGAGACTGAAGACACAAATCCAGGCGACGTAAGTCCACCGTGAACGCATCTCATCGACTGAAGAAACGTGTCAAATGAACGGATGAACTGCAGTCACATCAGCGCTGAGAGGATTCAGACAGAGCCGCGGAAGACATGGGGAGACGCGGGGAAAACAGCGCATCTGAGCGGAAAAGCGGCGAGCACGGTGCGGTGATCGGTTTGAGGCTCGCGGAGCTGTCAGACTCTCACAGCCGACAGCATGAAGAGGAGGAGGAGGGGGAGGAGGAGGAGACCATTACCACTCTCCAATAGACACCAGTGACTGCTCATGACACAGACTCATCCAGACTAATGAAGGTGTAAATCGGCGAAGAAACCCGAAAATGACAGCGCGTCGTGTCGATGGTGCGACATATTATTGTTCGTGTTTAACTGATGTTCAAACGCAGTTTCACTAGAGATTTTCAATCGAAATAATTGTTTGAATTAAAGGTTATGCGTACTGTAGACATGAATCATGTAGACTGCTAATATTAATCTTACTGTATTGTAGATAAAATGTTTATCTGTATTTTAATGGAATAATAGCTAATCTATATTATATTATAACAGAATTAAAGTGACAGCTGCACAGGAACATTTAAAAAATGTGATAAAATGTAATGATTTAAACATTTAATTTATTGTGCCAATTTACATTGTGTATACTTAAAAAAAAATATGTATTTAATGATAATTGGTAGTGTGTTACTTTTAAAAATATTTAGGTAAATTTCAGTCCATGTTTATTTCTATAGCACTTTTACAACGTAGATTGTGTCCAAGCAGCTTAACATAGACGTTTAAGTAAAGTGAAACTGTGCCAGTAGTTTTCAGAGTTGACGTTCAGTGTAGTTCCGTTCAGTGTGGTTTAATTTTGACTGCTGAAAGTCCACACACTGAAAAGCAAATTCCAACACAGACTCAAAATGAAAACGCAGCCCTATATACGTTTCTGGAGATTACAAACTATGTAACCAGAAGTATGTATTGCTCCATTTTGTTTTTAAAGCAAACGCTATGGGGAGGTGTGACTCCATTCCTTTTCGTGCTTATCAGCTGACCACTTACCTCCATATGGACGGCTTGCCCGATGTTACCAGTTTGTCCAGTTAGCTCGCCATGTACATCTGTGGACTTGGACTTTGGATTGCTTTTTAAAATTGTCAGTTGGGTTTTGGGAAATGGTAGGTGGGTCAATCAGTGCTTTTAAAAATAAAATTGGTTGGGTTTACAGAAGTAGTAGGGTGGGCTAGTCGATTGGTAAGTCAATCATTCAGTTAATCAAACAGTCAGTTGACAGCGGCCTCTGGTGGATTAACGCCAGAACGGCAGGCGGGAATGGTACTCATGAGAGAAATTTGAGATCTCAAAAAGCCTACACGGCAGCCTCTAGTGGATTTGTGAAAAGGAAACTGCAATAAAACGTTGCTCCTGTGATGTATTCTCTCCAGAAATGTCCATAGAGGTACATTTTCTGAATGAACCTGGGATGTCAAATCCCTCAGTGCGCGACTCCACAATTCCCCAAACCAAGCAAGCCAATTCACAAATTGACGTAAGGGAAGTGGGGGAAAAAAACTCAAGAGTCTCAGTTAGCCACAACCATTTCACCTTTGGTTAAACTAGACAAGACAAAGACAAATAATTAAGGTACTATTTAGCAGTGTTGTTTTAGTATCACAAAAAAATTGTGGTTAATATTTATGTTTTATTTACATTTTACTGTCTATTTTCACTTTATATATTTAAATATAGTCATTTATTTAGCCTTTTTGTTTGTGTAGATGCTAATTATGTTTTTTTTTATTCACCACTATTATAAGGATGCAAAATGTCAAACAAATAAAACATAATTAATTCAGTTCAAAACTATTTTATTTTTTCCTCTCATTTGACAAGTAATCATTGGTAATGTTGTGAATAATTGTTGTGACCTACAATAAACTACACCTATACTTCTTCAAGCAACAAGCATTTGCCACACAATGATATAAAGACTTCTGGAAGCAGACACATATTGACAGAACAAATGTGATTTAAACTCACATGGCCTTTTTTGCTGCAACTCTATTTAGCACTGCATTCTTAAAATCCAAATTTAAGCCGAAGCAGCACTTCCACCCACAAGATAAATGTGGCTCAATGACTGCAGCTCAATCTCTTTCATCTGCATGATTATTCATATTCCAGTGCCATGCCCTCCCAACACATCCCACGCTCCTCATCCAGCAGACACTCAAATTCAACAGACCCAGATCCTGTATTCAAAATCGCAAGCTGAAACATAAAAAACATGTCTTTGTCTTCAGATGTTGATATAAAAAGGTGAAGGAAAGAGCTGGCATTTATTCAATACATCAGGAGTCACACAATCCTGGTCAGACCTGCTAAATTATTTCACGCTAATTTACCCTAAAATTATGTAGTGTGGCTGTGAAAAAACAAAAATGTTATTGCTTAATATGTATCCTTTTATTTGCACAGTTTAGGGTAATTAATGTAGAATGAATGGATGAAAGTGAAGAGCCGTAAGGGGGGGATGGGGGTTTGGATTGGGGGTTGGGGGGTGGGTGAATGGAATGGAAGTGAAGAGCGGGGTGGGGTGGGAAAAATCGTCCTAACTAACACCCCCAAACCCGCCCCCTCTCCCCACCACCACCACCACCAGAATTAATTGCATTTTAAAACAGTAGTGAATAGTATGTAATGTATGTTTTCTATAATACAGATTTCATGTGATCCTAGTTATACCTATCTTAAAATTTAACTCTGACGAGGTTGCAGCTTGTAAATTAAAAAGTGAACTGGACTTGTCATAGACCTTAGCCCAGTCTGATCCTAAAACAGCAGGGTGTTTGCTAGTGCACGCAGAGGGGAAGCTTGGTTTAGGCAGACGCTGCTGAGCTGTCGCTACTGATAATCGTGTCCGGCATTAAAAAGAGAGAGAGAACGTGGACAAAAGTGCAGGAAGATGAACAACTGGGGAGTCAGCCGACACACTGGTGATTCGTGGGTTGGGAAGGGTGAGTCAGAAACCAGCAGGTAGCCATGAGTGATAAAATACTGACTATAAAATGATTATAAGAGGACATTTCATATAAACAATTGCATAATAAAACTGTATTGTGAGAATACCTTTAGGTTTACTTTATTTTTTTTGTAAATATATGTTTTTACAGGTATCAAGATTGTATTATTCTACAGTATCTACAGAAGTACAGTAGACAACTCTAAACTCATCCTCATTCACATGAATCAGCAAAACTGACTGAAAGTGCTGTATTATTCATGGCAAACTACAGAAGCAGCAATGTCACTTTGTAAAGAAGCACAGCATGTTTGTGCACATAGTTGTTGCTCACTCATGCCTATAGAGCAAACATCATTTTAAAGGGAACTGTATGATGAAATGTCATAACTATGACATTAAAAGGCTGAATTGTAACTTTAAAAGTTTTAGCTAATTTAAAAAAAGTTTAAGTTAACAAACTTAAAAGACTTTAAGTGAAAGCTGGCTGGCTGGTTAGCTAGCTAGCTTTATTTATCCCCATATGGAAATTTAATTTGCAGCATACACTCACAAACACATCTGACATTTCACATTTGGCATTTATATAAATAAATAAATCATTTAAAAACCTAAATACCCCTACTCTTAACGGCCCATTTCCACTAAGTAATACAGTTATTATGGTTGTTTTCACTATCAAAAGGTACCTTAAAGCGAACCGTACCATACCACTTTTGGGTACCCTTTGCAAAGTACAAAAAAAGGGTACCAAAAGACAAAGCAACTGAATGCTATCGGTTTACAGAGATACGTCACTCGCTCTTGCAACAAGTAAGAATGAAAACGAAGGAACCGCCATTTTTAAATACACAGCTGAGACATTAAGTCATAACAAGATAAAAATATAATAATGAGCCATGGTTCCCCAAGCTCAAACAAACATTGTTGTCGTCTTGATGAACAGCCACAAAGCCTAGAGGAAGAGCAGATTCTAGCCTGTGCCCCATTTACAAGGCCGTCTAAACCGTGAGCGGTTTTGCTTTCTCATTTGCGCTCATCGCACATATTTATTTGAATTAACAAACATTTTGAGGTGATGATAACAACGTGTGTGTGACAATTAAAGTGCTTCTGACATACGATCCTGTCAGAAGTGAACAAACGCAAGACTGATGTGCAAAAAAACAAAGAAGCAAAGGATTCTTTCAAACTAAAACATGAACAAACTGCCATGTTTAACTAAATCATCATCTTCTAGACTATTACAAACTCGGCATGATAGAATTACTTTCTAACAAGAGGTTACATATGCTGGTGAAGATTAAAGATACAGATGAGTGGTTTGTACTGATTGTAGGCTTTATGTTGCATGTTGTTTTTGAACCCAAATAAGGACTAAGTGTATGCTGCGTGTTTTTTGTTTTGTTTTGTTTTGTTTTGTTTTTTTGTAATTTATAACATATGGGAAATTGTAAGGGCTTTTTGTGTTCATATATGTGGCATTTATTTATTTATTTTATATAATTGCAGACGTTACAGTAGGCTATTTTGCCCGGTCATTGACTGCAGTTATAATAATAATCATAAATAATAATCATAAAAAGGTTAGTAATGAACATTTATAAAAAAGTGTTTATGTGTGTAAAGCCTCTGTTTTGTGAGATGTGCTTCTCGTATGATATGTGAATAACCTGTACGCTTTACTTTGACATTTTCTCGAGCGAGAGTGATGTTGACTGAAACTTTCTGTCATACACTGGGTACAATTGGTACCCTTTTAGCAGTAGAAGCGCCAGCCTGATAAAGGTAAGCCGTACCAACCCATACTGTGCCCCTCAGTGGAAACGGGCATGATAAAGGATGTCTCTCAACATTTACAGTCATGATAGGCTTATTTGATACTCTTTCTTTGTACATACAATCAAAGCCCTTTAGATTAGATGAGATAATAGCTGTATTTATGACAATAAATCATGATACACTTTGAAAAGAATGACTTTGAAAGTCACAATTATATATATATATATATATATATATATATATATATATATATATATATATATATATATATATATATATATATATATACACTTTTGTTATTTATTTATTTTTTTAAAATCTGGACCAAACTGTTAGGCAGGGTTACCAAGTTTGTGGTTTTCCTATGGAATTTGGCCACATTGCCATAGTTTTTTTTTTTCTTTCTTCAGGATATGGTTTTGACATATTTCATCAATTATATTTGTATATTTGCATATAATATTTTACTCTAACAAATATATTCCACCA